CATTTAGGAAATCTTTTATTTATAGGAAAATCAGGAAAATGGCCATAAGCAAGGCCAGAAAACCAAAAAGTTTAAGTAAACTTTCAAAGAGAGATGAGGATTCTTGTACAATTCGCGTTTTGGTGACCTTGAATGCTCGGTCCCACTGGGTCATGATGGCATTTCTGGCTCCTTCCCATTTCCCTGGACCAGTCAAGCGGAATTGGTATGGTGAGCATGGGCCAAAGAAGATGGTCAAAGCCAGAAGAGGATCCGTCAGGAGCATAGAGAACAGGTTGGGTTTTGCATTGATGTCGGTCAGGAGTTCATCTATGTATGTGATATAATCTGATTGTAAAGCCTTGCAGTAGCACAAGCCAAACCTTTATAAAAGGAAGATTAGGGGAAAAGGAGACGACAAAAGGATAAAATAATGATAATCTTAGAACAAGTAAGAGTGCCCAAAACACACAAGTGCTATTAAAAATTTGCAATGGTTTCTGTGTTCTCCCCTTTATGCCCATAGCTATCTAATGGTCTCATTCTATTTTTTAAATACAATGAGTCCCTTGAAAAGATACTCTATACATCTGGCTTTCAATGGGTGTTCTGAATGCTCATAATACATCGAGTATTACTGTAGTTCTTTTGTGAAATGATTAGTACTTTCTAGAGGAAAATATATTTACAATTCCTAAATCTTTCTAAAACTCAATTATTACTGGATTTGTACAATGTGGAAAGCCATAAAAATCTGCAGGGTAGAATTCCCCATGATGTTGATATTAGGCCTTACAATTGTTGGCTGACCTATGTGATAAGAATGTTTTACTTTCGGTAGTAGTTCTCATTAGTTATCTATTATACTGGAGTTCCATAATGGAGACCAAATTATATCCCAGGTTGAAGATAAAGAAGAGATACTTAAAATTCTTTTATTGTTTTGGAATTTGGCACTCTGACAAGGCTAACTCAACACTTGAAGTTTGGGAATATATATGAATGAGAGAAGCAAAAACGATTTCCTTAAATGCAGTGATTTTAAGACTTTTCTGGTACAGAACCCTTTTTTTCAAGTGGAAATTTATATCAAAGGCCAAAAACAGATAAAAGAGTAAAGCAAATAAA